AGTCCACCTTCATCACTGAAGTCAAGAAGTACATATTCAATAAGTTTACCAAAACCAAAAGTATCATTTGCAAACTGTTGGGCTGAGACATTCGATTCCTAAATGAACGGAAATGTGATTTTCTTGACACTAGCAGCTATCATTTCGCACCTTTGTCGGCGCAAACTCCGGCAATGTTCCTGACTTGAAAAACTTGCTTTCAGTAATTTCAGAAATGAGGTTAGGTGAAGATGTGAACTCGAACCTTCAAGTAAGCAAATATGATTTGCACGAACTTGATCCAAACAAATTCACAAACCCTCCTAGCTTCCACTCCCCATTATTGCATACAAAAATGCAACCGGGAGAGATGTTGTTGTGAGAGAGTGAGGCCTAAATTAATTTAACAAGTTAGGTAGAAGCTACAGTTTAAGGATTACTTTGCTGTGAAGGAACAGTAGAGCTTCTAAGATATGATGTAATCCACATTGTATCTCCACGATAGACATGGACCTCACAGAGAGATCGAGCATCTGAACAAACTGGTTGTTCCTTCATTTCAAAAAGGAACGAAAACAGAAGAAAGCAAGATATTTTCAAAAAGTGGATCCCACCTCAACGCGTTCTGTGATTAACGAAACGTCGCTTACTGAGCATGCACCTTCTAAGAATTTCACAATATTTGGATGTTTTAGCTGCTTCAAAAGCTAAAACAAACAAAAAATCTTGAGATGCGAAAAGAAAAGAAAACTAGGAACAAACCTTAATACCATTCTCAAAGTATTTCAGCGCACCATCAGCGCCTTCCAACTTCCTTAGGAAAACCGTGCCTATAAAATCAGTAATGACGGTATGATTAGTCTTAAATGCAATAAAGAGCAGCATTCTTACAAGGAACTCTCTTGTTTCGTAAAGCTGGATAAATATGGGTCCAAAGCTTAAATGCCGCTGCATTTCTAGGAACTTCATCATCTACAACAATATCCTCATCTCGTCGTTTGTTGACACTTTCCTGGGCACCCATCAAAGGAGCCAGAAAACTAAAAAGCTG